GGCTGTCACTCAGGGGGCTCCGTACTGAAGGGTCATTTTGGGCAGATGGCTGTCCTTTCTGCCAGGATGGCGGACCCGAGAGAGGCCTCACAGGTGGCCTGTTTGAGGGGGTAGGAAAGGAGTGTGGGGGCTGTCTTAGGACCTTCTGAGGAGGGAGGATAGAGGGCCCCAGGTATGGAAGGCTCAGCAGCTAGGGTCCTGGCTGGGGTTAGGGTGGGCGGGTTAGGGCTGGTGGTTTGACTAAGGCTGTGCCTTGGTGGTGATCTGCTCCCCTCCCTGGCCTGGCCCTGCCCTCTGGTTCTGCCTCCCCCTGGCCAACCTCTCCCTTTCCTGGTACCTGCAGATGCTTCAGATGCCAAAGCCAGGGAGCAAAGGAGGGGCGGGCCTCTGCCCACATCGTCCTCGAAGGAGGCCCCCGAGGCCAAGGATCCCAGGTGGTGCATCTGGAATACTGGTGCTTGCGCACCCCCCCCCCCGCCCCAAATCTGTCCCTCCTGCTCAGCAGATGAAAGTGCAGGTTTCCCTGTGCCCTGGGGCTGCTGAACACATCAGCCCTTCCAGTTCCTTGGAAGGGACTTTCCCCGGGGAGCCCTGCCTGGCCTGGTGGGCCTCTTGCTGCTCGCTTCTCTTCCAGAGCTCCTCTGGACCCTGTGTTCTTCCAGCCCCAACCATATGCAGGGTGGGGCTGTGTCCACCCGGCTGCACAGAGAGCCATGTGGGAGCCCTCTGCTGCCGTCCCCCAGCTCCACATCCGTGTCCTGGGGTCTGGTTCACACTGGCCAGCTCTGGTTGAGCAGACCCCTTATCCCAGGGTCCCACTGCTGCTGAACCCTTTTCCTCTTGGGTGCCCCAGGCTGCGGCATGACGTGAGTTCTGGGGGTGCTGAGGCCTCACTGCTGCGGCCCCAGGGAGGGCAGTCATGGAGACTGCGGGTCCTCATGGGGACAGGCTGTGGCCCATAGGCTGCTTTGCCTTTGACCTCACTGGGCAGAGGTGGTGGGAGGCCAGCAAAGGCTGATCTCTCAATTCAGTGTGGCTGTGCAGGGCTATGGGTTCATCTACCCGTTGGCACCTGTTGCTCCCTCCAGGAAGCCCCTGCTCCCCCTAACTTATGTGGGGGTCACGAGATGCAGGGGTGTGAGGGGAGGGCTGGGTAGATGCAGCTTTGTTGTCAGGCAGCTTGTGGGGAGTGCCCAGTCTTTAAAGGGGCATCTGTGCTGGATGGGGCGACCCCCAACACTATCTGCCTCTCTCTGAAATGGCAGCTGGTATTGAGCCGTGTGGCCCGGTGTTCTGGCCGCCCGGAGGGCAGGGACCCTTACAGGAGATGCTGCCCCCATAGTGCCCTCCTCTGGGCAGAACGCCCCACCCAGTGGGCTTTACTGCCTCTGGCCAACTGGGCAGACCCCGAGGGCATGCTGGGCTGGACTGCGGGGGCAGGACCTTGGGCTGCTGTGAAGGTAGAAGAGACAGGATTTGGGACATTGTGGTTGTACCGTTGGCTTTTCTGGGGACCCGTGTGTCTTTCTCCAGCCGCAAGAGGCCAGAGCTGCCCAGGATGCCATCGGCCCCAAGGATCACCACGTTTCCCCCGGTGCCGGTCACCTGCGATGCTGTGCGTAGCAAGTGCCGCGAGATGCTGACCGCCGCCCTGCAGACAGACCGTGAGTGCCCCAGTGTGCACCGTGAGTCCTGGGGTGGCCTGAGTTCAGAGGGTCTTCAGGGACAGCCTTCTCCCCTAGCCCGTTGCAGTGGACCCCAGGTTGGGGGGCAGGGGGTCTTGGGGTCACCAGAGCACCTGGGTCCTGGGCTTCGGAGCTGGGCAGGCTGGAAGTGGGGGGCAGCTAGTGGGGTGGCTAGCCAGGGCTGCCTCTTGCAGATGATCACATGGCTGTTGGTGCAGACTGCGAGGGCCTGTCAGCCCAGATTGAGGAATATATCCTTTATGTGGGGCTTTGGGATCTGGGGTTTCAGGTGGAATCATGAGGACAGCCAGGCCTGGCTTCCCCTGGTGGCCACAGCCCCAGCGCCCTCGCCAGGCGTTTGGTTGGTGGACCAGGAGGGCCCTCCCTGGACCTGCTGAGGGACTGATTCTGCCCGCTGGTGGGGCCTGGGTCACCGGGGCTTTGAACCTGCAGCTGGGCCTCAGCCACGGGTGGGTCCGGTGGGGGTCCCCCTCAGCTGCCCCTCCACTTGCTGCAGGCGTGGGTGGGCAGACGGAGTTGCTGGGCTCCCCTTCCCCCCATGTGGCCCTCGCTGGCCTCCCTCGGCTGGCCCCATGGGGTGGGTGGAAGGCAGCAGCACTGTCCTCTGGATAGGTCCTTAAACACTTGCACGCATCTTCCGGGACGTGGGGAACACGGACATGAAGTATAAAAACCGTGTGAGGAGCCGCATCTCCAACCTCAAGGACGCTAAGAACCCTGACCTGCGACGGAACGTACTGTGTGGCGCCATAACACCCCAGCAGATTGCTGTGATGACATCGGAGGTGAGTCCTGCTGGAGGGGCGTGGGCACCGCCCCTGTGCACAGTGGTAAGTACGTGGCTCCTTGCCCAGGAGATGGCCAGTGATGAGCTGAAGGAGATCCGGAAGGCAATGACCAAGGAGGCCATCCGAGAGCACCAGATGGCCCGCACGGGGGGCACACAGACGGACCTGTTCACCTGCGGGAAATGCAGGAGGAAGAACTGCACCTACACGCAGGTGCGCCCCGGCCGCCTGACCTCATGCTCCCCGGAGCCCGTGCCTGCCCCCGGGGCTCCTTGGACGTACACGCTGTGGAGGGCACCTTTGGAGCCTCCTCCGTTGCCCAGCACCCGTGGGCCCCAGTGAGCAGCATCTCAGGGGGTGGTTTGCTCTGGGCACTAAAATGGGGGGCCTGGCCTCCCCCAGCATGGAGGGGCCCCAGGAATGTTGCTGCTGGCTGGTGGGTGGGTGTGCTGCGCAGCCTGGCAGTGGCCACAGGACGACGCTCAGACCCATGGAGGTGGGCGCTGATGTGGACCTCAAGATATGCCAGGGGTCCCTGGTAAGGTCCCTGGTAAGGGGACAAGGGTTGGAGTCGCTGGGCAGCCTCAGTGGGGTCCCCCAGAGGGGCCGAGGGGCTACAATGCCAGCGCTACCCGAAGGGATGGGTAGCCTCCCCTCGCTGTGACTCCAGGGAAGACCTGTATCTCGGGGCCTCCTGCTCCAGGTGACTGAGTCCTGGGGCTGGGGCAGCCCCTCTCACCACAGCCCTCCCCGCAGGTGCAGACCCGCAGCTCTGATGAGCCCATGACCACCTTTGTCGTCTGCAATGAGTGTGGAAATCGCTGGAAGGTAGGTGGGCAGGCCTTCTCGGGAGGTGGGTGTGTCCAGCCTGTGTGGGACCCGTGTGACATGAAATGGGGGACAGCCACGCCCGGCTGGCCTCCTGGGGCTTCAGAGCAGGGGGGTGGAGACCCCAGCCCTGCCTCTCGCCCTGCGGGGGTCCTGGGGTCCATGTGGCTGATGTCTCTCATCCGTCTGCTGCAGTTCTGCTGAGCCCTCCTTGAGACGCGTGTGAAGCCTTGGGCTGCGGCCAGCACATTGCCACAGCCTTCCCTGCGTCCTGTCGACAGACAGACACCGCTTCTTGAGACCTACCCTGTGCCCACCTGAACTCCCCAGGGGGCTGTGCATCCTGCTCCCCCATCATGCCTGCAGTACACCTTTCTTCCTTTCTCCCCAAATTATTAAATGTTTCTTTTTGCCATTGTGCAGTTTCTGGCCCTTGGTTCTGGCGGACCATGCACAGTCTTGGGCTGTGAGCAGGGTCTCCTGCCCCCACCCGTGCCCCGCCACGGGGGATGACGACCCTCCTCCTTGGGATCAGGGGATACTTAGGTTTGGCCCTGATGGAACAGAGATGGAGGGAAGAGCCCATGGGCCCTCAGAACACTGGGGGCAGACTCTGCCTGTGTGTGCCCATGGATGAGGGGCAGGTCCTGGGGGTACACGGCGTGGGTGTGGGCATGCACAGACATGGGATCAGGTGGGAGGGGGCCTTAGGCACACAGAGGACCCAGGGTCTCCCGAACCTCCCCAGGCAATGTAGCTCAGGGCCCAGGGCTTATGGGCAGGAGGCTACCTCTGGGTCCCCTAGCCATTCATGATGACTTGTCCTCACCCTGACCCTCTGCTCCTGACGACAGAGTGGATGGGGTGGGCCCTGGACCCACTACAGCTTTGAATCGCTTCGCCTCCTAGAGATTCAGGTAATGGGGTGGCAAGCGTGTGCCTTGTGGAGGCCACCCCCATCAGCGTCCCGCCCTGGCCTTGGCACCCTCACTGGGGCAGTGTTGAGCACCGCTGCTCACTGGGGCCAGGTCTCCTCTGCTCCCTGCACTAGACTAGGTCTGGGACAATTCTTCATTCCTGAATCTCCCCCCAGATGTGGAAAAAAAGGAGAGACGTTTGCATTAAAAATATCTTCAATAATAAGATCCTATTTTGGATGAAAAAGGAATGGAGATAAATATGAAAACATTTTCTTTTTTTGATAAAATACAGTAAGGACATGTTTCCAGGTTTAAAATTAATGAAAATATAAAAAAGAAACTGGCTCCTGTTGCCTCAAGCCTAGTCCTGAGGTTCTGGGTCCGATCTGGGTGCAGACAGCTTGAATCGGAGAGTTTCCTCACGTCACAACTAGACAATACAGAGGCCCTGCTTCCCATCAGAGGCATTTCTCAAGGTCCCTGGCTGCCTGGGGAGGAGGCCCAAGTGAAGCTGCTGGGTCCATGAGAACTCCTGGGAGGGTCCCTCTCCCCAAGCAGGAGCCCCAGCAGAAGCACTTGGCCAGCCAGCGGGGAGCTGGTTGGGGAGGGGCCGCCTGGTCCCAGAGGCCCTCACACCTGCCTCTTAGCGGGACCTCAGGGTACTAGGTCCCTAGGGTAGAGAGGGGGCTCCAGTCTGGGACTGCCCTCAGGGGTGCTGGGCCCCTGCGGTGTGCCGGACACCTGCTGACACACGCTTGTGCAGGCAACCCAGTCTTTGCCCACTGGAGGGGTCCCGTGTCTGTGCCGCTGTGATGGGCAGCCTAGGCCTCACTGGAGGACTGGGAGCTCCCCCGGAGCAGCAGGGCACGGTAGGTGGGGGAGCTGAGGAAGCGGGGGTAGGAGTCCCGGTGCATGAGTGTGTAGATCTGCAGCTGTGCATCGTCAAATGTGTGTGCGGACGGCTCCTGCATCTTCTTGTTGATGCCTTCTCGCACTCGGGAGTCCAGGCTCACCTGTGGGACAGGACACCAGGGTCAGGGGCCCAGGAGGTGTCCCCACCCGCCCCCCACCAAACCCTTGCCCTGGATCCCCATGGCGGTGCACCTCCTTGGGGGACAGGATGGACACGTAGTCCTCATAGATGAGCCTGGCCTTCTCGTCCACCACGTGCTGGTTGGCCTCAGCCTTGAGCTCCTCACAGGCCAGCCAGAAGAGCATGTTCTCCTCGCTGTACTCCGTGCGCAGGAACTCCCGGAACACGCTTCGTCCCGCTGGGCTGTGCATCAGCTTGTCGAAGGACTGCGCCCAGCTCCGCACCTCCTCAGGGCTCGGCGTGGCGCTGTGGGCATTCCCCGCCAGGCCAGGTCAGGCCTGCACCCCCACCACCCAGACACACGCACACACACGGCTGGCCACACCTACCATGCCTCACAACTGGGGAGAGGCTGCAGCTTGTTCTCCCGGGAGACCCGCCATGCTCGCCGCCGCTCTTCATTCCTACCCGCAGAGAGAAAGGTGGCACTGGCCTCCACGGTACCCCTGGCCTTGGCACGGGCGCGCGCGCGCGCACACACACACACACACACACACACACACGGGGCACGGGGACTCTCAGCTTCTGTGTGAACCCACTGCAGGTGGGCAGCTCTGGAGTCTGCTCCATTCACACCTTCCAGGGAAGGAGGGTCTGCACTGCTGCAGCCCACCACCCCTCCTGTCTCTCCCCTGGGACCGAGGCTGTCTCAGTGGTGGTTGGAAGACCTCTCCTGTCTCCTAGCCTCCAGGACTTCACCGATTCCTTGTGCACCTCCCTGACCTGACCTCAGCCCCCACCCCTTTCTCCCAGAGGCCCCAGCTGATGCAGTAAGAAAGCCCCAGCCTATGTGTGTCTGATTCTCCCCAAGGGACCGTTTTCCCTCCCTTGGCTCCTCACCCGGTGTCAGGGCTGGCTTCCACATCCATGCCTCCAGCCAGATCTCCCTCTAGGGCCACTGGAATGTCTAACAGACATTTAGAAACCCAAACAGACAGAGAACTCTGTTCCTCTCCTACCCTATCTGCTAGACCCCAAACTCTCCCTCGGCCCCCACAGCCAAAGTCTTAGTGCGTCCTAATTCTTCATGGCTCCCCTCTCCTGTCTCAGGCCTAAACTGCTCACTAGTCAGCAGATCCCCCTTTGATTCCCCACAGCGCTGTCCACTCAACAGCCATGGGCTGGAAGCCTGAATAGGGCCAGGCCTCTGTCAGACATGAAAACTCCCAACAGCTTCTCCACAGGCCTACAGAACCTTGTTAGCACCTGGAGGCCCCACACCCGCCCTCTGGCAGGCTGCTCTGGAAGCTCATCCCCATTGTCCCCAGGCCAGGCCCCTGCTCAGTGTCCTTCCACCTAACAGTGTGTAGGATGTGCTTCTGTTTCTCCCTCTGTAGGACCCTAGGGCCAGCTCAGGCTGGCTCATGGCGGCATCAGCACGTGCTGAGCAAGCGGACAGAGGAGTGCACATATGGTGGACACGGACACATGGACATACCCTCAGGCACACCAGACATGAAAGCCACACATACAGAGGGGTCTGGGCATTGGCCACTGGTCAGCAGGGCCCAGCAACCCCTGGATGGGAGCTGTGGGAGGTAGTGCCTCGTAAGCCATCTGAGGGTCTGGGGGCAGGATGTGGGGCCCCATGTCTGCACAGCCCCCCCCACCGCCTCTGCCCCGCACCCCAGTCCCCACATACCAGGAACAGCTGCAACAGCAACACCAGCACAAGCAGCAGGGGTTGCGGCTGGGGGCAGCCGGGGGGGCCGCGTCATGACTGGACATCGAGGGGGGCTGGTCTGCCTCCTCTGGCCCTACGTGCTGGTGATATGGGGGCCTCCTCAGCTCCAGGCCAGAACCTGGGGCCCCCACACCTCTTCCCTGACTCCCCTTGGTGGTCACCCCCCTGGCCTCCCAGGCGGTCAAGGGTCTCCCAACTCTTCGCCCCCCCCCGCCCCCGTTCCCACAATGGGGGCAGAGGCAGGGTGGAGGTGGTGCACCTGCTTCTCAGTCTCATGCGGGGTGGGCATGGGTGGGTGGAGGAGGTCGCCCGGGCTCCGTGGTGCTGGCTCCGGGACCCTCACCACAGCCTGGGAGTCTGAGAAGAGAGGTGGAGGTTCTCACTGAGAACCTGGGACTATAGTCTCTAGTCGTCCCCTGGAAGGGGTCCTTCCAAGAGCCCTGGGGGGCCTGCTCCCCTGCCCCCCACCTTCAGGCCACTCTGTTCAGGCTCCTACCTCTGCCCCAGCCTACACCAGGGCTGTGAGCAGGGACAGGGACAGTGAGAAAGGGGGCCCCAGACAAGATCTCCACAGGAGGTTCCGGGACACCCTCATTTGCTCCGTCCCTGGGAAGCCGGAAGTCTGGGTTCCTCTTTCTTGGTTTCCGGCTCCTGGCCCCTCCCAAGAGGACTGGGGGCCCCAAGAGTCTGGGGCTACAGGTTAATGCATAAGGGTGGTAGTAAGACATTCAGACCCCCTCCCCAGCTGCCTCCATTCTGGGTTTTCTGCAGGGGGTGAGGGAGGTGGGGAGGGTTGCTCTCCACCAGGAGTCCAGATCTGTGTGGGCCCCAGAGGATTCCAGCCTGTTTGCAGCTGACTAAGTCTGCAGCATGGAGGAGATGAGTGGGGCAGGACTTTCTGAGGGTGTGGGAAATGCAGCAGGGCACAGGGGAGGTGGGCCATGAGCCTCCTGGGGACCGATGGCTCCTAGGTCCTAGATGCTGCCCCTAGCACCCCAACCCCCAGCTGGTACCTTACCTCACCCAGGGTCTCCCAGCCTCCCTTCCTCCCACCCCCACCAGGCGGTGGAAACCAATACAGCCTGGGGTGCCAGTGGGGGAGGGGAGTGGGGGGGTAGCGATGGGTTGGGGTGTCCTGCTCCCTGGGTCAGAGATGCGGGATCCCTGGAGGGGGTGAGGGCCAGCATTCTCTTCAATGTCTGTACCCATGTTTCATGGTGGAGGCACCCAGGGGGCACGGGCCCTGGAGCTCCAAGCCAGGGTGAGGAGCCTGATCCTCCCCACCCCCACCCCCACCCCCGCAAGGCCAACCACAGATCCCACCAGGGTGGGCAATCAGTGCTCTGGGGGCAGTTTTGAATGCTTTCCCACCACGGCCCCTGCCTGTGCCCACTTTGGCCTAGGTGAGGACCCACAGGGCCTGGGGTGCTCCCCTGCATGGCTGAGCCGTCCAGTCCTGTCCCCAACCCCCATCTTGGCGGCCCAGAGGCTCATGACTTGCTTTCACTTTATTTTCTCATGTAATTATCATCCTCCCTGCTGCCCCCATCCCTCAGCTTGTGGACTTTCAATCCCCCTTTGGTCCATGTTGGTCTCTTGGGATCTCCCAGGGTAGGAGGGAAGGGTGGGTGCTCTAGGGCAGGCACCACAGCAGAACCGGGCTAGGCAGCTCCTGGAGCGGGGATGCCAGGACCGCGTGTGAGTTATGCACACTTAGAGCACCCTTGCCTCCAGAGGCCCTGCCCTGACCCGAATCTACGGGGCAAAGTATAGGGTCCTCTGGGGCTGAGGCCCCTTACCAGCTACCTGGCTTCCCCTCAGACCATGGGGGAGGGGACCCTCCAACTGGGTCCCACAGGCTCCAGGGCAAGCAGATGGGGAAGCAGCAGCCCCACAGCTTGCCTTTCCCTCAGGGGTCAAGCTTCTAGGGAAAGGAAGGGGTGTGGCAACCTCTGAGGTCTGGTAGCCAGGCAGAAAACTGCTCTTCCTCCTCGGCACCCCCACCCACTGTGAGCGGGGGCAGGGCCCTGTCCCCTCTCCCCTCCCTAGCATCCAAAGACTCAGCTCTGAATTAGAGGAGGGGCCCTGTCTGGGGGTGTAGATCCAGGGGGCCTCTGGGGCGGGAGGCTGTGTTTGGGGTCAGTGTCTTCTGTACCAGCTGCAGGCCTGGACCTGGCTCCCTGCACCCTCCTCAGGCTGACTGGGGTCACCTGTTCACTCACTCTCTGCTGAGGAGATACAGGGTCTGAATTGGGGTTCCTGCCCCTCATCCTGGCATTAGGGAGGGAACTTGTTCCCCTTTCCCAGCTCCTTAGGCTCTGGCCCCCAAGTCTGGGGTGGGAGAGGTTGGACAGGCAGAAAGCCTGGCCTCTGGGGACAGAGGTTCCCTTGGGAGCGGCTGCTACTCTGCTCCACAGAAGGAAAAAGAACGTCCCTGAGCCCGCCCAGTCCAAAAAAAGAATAAGAAAATGTGACAATCCCAGAAAAAAATGCCATAACCTTTGGGCAGAGGGCTGACAGAGGGGCTCCTTTCCCTGCTTCTGATGGCACTCAGTACGTTTCCTGTCGCTGCCCCCCATCTGATAGGTGGAGGCGCCCCAGCCTGGCTCCTCCAAGGCAGGCCCGGTCTTTCTAACCCTGGTGACCCTTGCCCCCACCCCACCTCTGCAGTGGTGGGGGCAACCTGTTTCTCTCTTCCTCTCTCTGCTGGCAAGACCTGGACTGGTAGAGCTTGTCTCCTTCTTTAGGGGTCCCTTCCCCCAGCCTCTGACTGACGCCCCCACCCCTATCTGAAGGAACTCGCCATGGCGCCCCACTCACCATCGACCCAAAGGCGAGGTGGGGGCGGGAGGGGCCAGGTTCCCTCTGGGCCCCACCCTGGCTGCCGAAGGGGCGTGCACTGCAGCAGCAGGGACTCGAGTCAGACGGCAGGAGGTACTCCTGCGGCGTTCTGGAGGGAGGCCGGCGCCGGGAGCCCCGGATCAGCTGGGGCCGGGGGCGCAGCGCCTCCCCTGCGCCTTGCAGGGTGAGTGGCTGCCAGATCCAAGGGGGTGGGGGCGGGGGCGGACAGGGTGTCCCGCCTCGGCCCCTCCCCACCAGGCTGGGGGGGTGGGCGGGAGACGCGGAAACCTGGGTTCTTCCGGGCCCCCCCTTTGAGCAATCACTTCCCCAGGCTTTGAGCTGCAGAAAAAGGGGAACCGGTTGCAGCGCCCCCTCCCCCACGCGCGGGGGAATGGCTCCAGTCCCGCCGCGGCCCAGGGTCCACGTGGACCCCGCGGCTGGAGTTCTTGGGGTGCGGATCCGGGCGCCAGCTCCCGAGGCTCCCGCCCCGTACGGCCTCCGGGCCCCTGGCCGGGAGGGGCAGAGCCGCCGTCCTCGGCGCCGCGCGCGCGCGCACTCACCGGCCGCGCTCCCGAGCCGTTCGCGCCGCCGCTGCTGGCCCGCGCGCCCCGAGGTCCGGCCGGATCGTCGGGGAGGGGGCGCAGGGTGCAGTGCGCAGGCGCCTTGGCTGCACTTCCCCAAAGCGCGGGGACGGGACTTCCTCGCGCGGGGAGGTGCCCGGCCCGCCCTGCCAGGCGCGCCCCGCCCCGCGCTCGGCTGGCCTCGTGCCCCACCCGCCCCCTCCCCACCACCCGGCATATCCGGCGGGGCGCCCAAGTCCCCACTGTCGCCTAGGGGTAGCCTGTGGAGATGAGGTGCTAATAATGGGGCCTCTGGACCCAGGGCGGCCTGAGCCGGGACTGGAATAGATGGGGGCGTGGCTGTGTCCCCCACTCTGTTCAAGGGGGCCAGTCCAGCTTTGCCATTCTTGTGGGTGTTCATGAGACTCTGGTGCAGTGTCTGGCCACAAGTGCCCTCAAGACCCGGGGTCCTAGACGCTCCTTGCCGTCCAGGCCTTGCTCTAGCTTCTCTGGACTGTGGGCTCTCCCCTGTAAAGCAGGGTTAAGAGTGAGCTGGCACCGTGCTCTAGGGGGCTTCCCAAGGAAAGGGGGTCTGATGCCGCGGTGCTGGTGGGTGCTGGGCGATGGGTTCTTGCATCTGGAATCACCAAATGTTCCTGTCTGTGGGGACTGGGTGAGTCTTTTCCAGCTCCTCCAGTTGCCCCAAGATATCCCAAAGTTTAAAGCCACACCCTCCCTTTTGCCACGGATGCCCTGTCCCTTCTCTTTGGCGGACTCCCCTGATATTGTATGATCCGTTACAGCTGTCAGTTAGATTTCTTATCCCAGCATGCTTTGGGCCAGTGTCAGTGTGGCCTCGACCCTGCTCTGGAAATGGTCTGCAGTGTCTGTGCCCCCTGGCCTTGGACCATGTGCATCTCCTGTCCCCCGTGCAGGCACTCAGCCCGCTCGGTTCCTGATGCCCGAGGCTGGCACACAAAATGCCTTCCAGTTGCACAAGTCAATATGCACACGTTTCTCAGAACTCTTCAAGATGGAAAGGAAAGTGGTGATTTTACATGTGCCTCTCATTCATTCAGTGATGATCTGGGTGTACCAGACACTGGTGGGCCCCAGCAGCAAGCGAGACAGGCGGACCAGCCCTGGGGCAGGCAAGAAATAGACTGGCAGACTGGGTTAGAGGTCAGGAGGGCTAAGGAGGACCGCGGAGCCGAGGAGGGAGGTGTCACTCAGTAAAGGGCAGGGTTGGCGGAACGGCAGGACAGGGGCCTTGGGAGAGTGGAGGCCAAGCTGGGGGAGAGTGTGAGACGAGGTCAGAGAGGTGAGAGGGGCCGTGCAGGCTGGGGTGCCTCCTGGGGTGTGTGCCCAGGGGCCTTGGCTGGTATGACCACAGACCTATCTGGCTGCCAAGTTGACGGGCTGGCCAGGCCAGGGCAGAGGCCGGAAGCCTGTCCAGACAGGAGGTGGCTGCTTCTTATTTAGCCTAGGTCACCGTCCTGAGAGGTAGGTCCTACAGAGGCAGGCCAGGCCCCACCCCCTTGCACCTGGCAACACAGTCACACAGCCAGGCTGATCCCACAGGGTTTGGTGCGGTGTCTCTACCCCTTCCTGAGAAATGTGTGGCACAGCTGACCACGGGTGGAGGTAGCACACTTCTCTCTGTACTCATGCCATTCCCTACTCCCTCTGCCCTCCCAGCCCTCCATACGCTGTACCTTCTGTGGCCACTCACTTGTGACCTTTGCCACTTGGGCCTGCACTCTGTTCCCCTTGCCCCAGCCGTTCTGGGTGTCCTGCACCTTCTCTGGTGAGTCTGTGTCTACACAGAGCATACCCATATTCCGTGGGAGGAATCCAGATGGGCTGGGCAGTAACTTTGCAGCAGGTAATGGTGGATATGGGATTCAAACCCAGGACCCTCTGTCCAGAGCATGAGCATGATTGCAGCCCCAGGAATCCACCCGACCCTGCACAGTCTCCAGTACACTGGGGCCTGGCCTGCATGCTTCACTGTCTCATAGCAGAAGCCTCCTCTGGGCCCCACAGAAATGTCCTCAGCCACTTTCCCTGGCCTCCTCCGCAGACCTCGGGCCCCCCTCCCTGGTATGGGGATCAAAGGGCCCACCATGTTCTAGCTCAGTGCCTGGTGCAGAGCTGCCTGTGAGGCCACCCTGTTGCTAGTCTTCTCCGCAGGGCTTTGTGTGGTCCCCCATTGCAGAGTAATCCACACCCTTATGGAGCCCTCACTGTGCTCACTCACAGCCCAGGTGAGACCCTCAAGATCTCTATTTTAAAGATCAAGAAATGGAGACTCAGAGAAGTGATGGAATGAGATATGCATTTACCAAACAGATGAAATGGTTCTAGGTGGTCAGTACATCCCCAAGAGACAGAGTGCTGGGGTCCTGGGGAGTCAGGGCTGGCCGTCATCCTGTTCATGATACACGTGGACAGAGAGAACATCCTGTTCAGGGCGTACGTGGACAGAGAGAAAGCCTCCCTTTCCCTGGCGATTTGTCCTCAGCCCAAGCCACCTTCTCTCCCCCTGTTCCTCCTTCCCCAGCTCTACTCAAACACCACCTCGCCCCCCCCCCCCCCCGCCATGACTGCCATGCATAGCTCTCTCCTTCCTCCCAGAGCTGCCGCAGACTCCAAGCTCCACACACAGTTCTGGGCATGGACCAAGGCCAGGGGCGGCAACAGCACAGAAAGGGTGAAGGGTCAGGCGCAGGGAGAAGGGCTTACTGAGGGCCACTCAGCAGGCCTCCCTGGCACAGGTTGGGGGGCTTGTCTGGATCCTTTTGGCCCCCACCTCTGTAGCTGGTTAGGGACTAGGAGGGAAGAAAAGGGAGACATGGCCAAGTTCTAGGCTCTGCAAAGAGCGCGTGTCAGGGAGAAGAGTACTAAGTTCTCTAAGGGAAGATCTGTCCAGAAAGTTGGGAGACTCTTCAGAGTTCGGAGCTTTTGCACGAGGTGGATTTGTCAGAACAGGACACGGGTGGTTTCCTTCCTGTATATGTGTGTCTGTGTGTAAGGGGGATAGAGCAGAGCTGAGGAGGTCATTCAAGATGAAAAGGTGATTTTCTGTCTGGAGAAGTAGGGGCCTTCCTGAGGTGGTCTCCTTTTCCCCAGTCTCGGTCCCCTGGAGGACCTCCGCTGCACAGCTGGCTCCAAAGGCCACCTTTGGCTTGTGCAGTCACTTGTCCTGCCCAGAATGTCACCCTCCTCTCTGACCCCTGATGGAATGACCTACAACCTGGGGTCCCACTTGGGCCCCACTTTCTCCCTGAGCTTGCCCTTCACTTCTGGGGTTGTGACAGTTGCCCCGGCCCAATTCTTATTCCTGTCTCCTCAGACTGGGGGCTCTCAGAGACTTGCAGGGCACCAGGTTGCCTGATGGGGGCAGAGCGGTATTTGAGGGATTACCAGCACCCTCTGTTAATCTGACACCTGCCCGCTTGCATCCTCCTTCTACTTTGTTGGAGGGCAGCCCCCCGTCCCCGACCCCGGCTCTGTGTATCCAGATGTCTGTGATGGGATGCAGGGGAGGCAGCATCCATACTCTCCCCCTTCCCTCCCCCGGAACCTGGAGAGAGGCAGCGTGACGACCAGGGGGCGCTTGGACAATGAGAACTTTATATGGGAGGGTGGGATGCGTTCGCACCCTGTGGAGTCCCAGTCAACGTGGGAAGATGCTGCCATCAACTTTCTCCTCTAGGATGGTCTCCACGCGCCTCCTCTGCGGGTGAGAGGGGTTGGGGCCAAGTGTGCGGGGAGGAGGGCGGGGATCCCCCTCTGCCCCTTCCCGGGCCTGTGGGCACCTCTTGACGGTCCAGGGGGTCTGGGATCCGCGTTGGCTTCAGCTGCGGCGGCAGGAACAGCTCCAGCCGGATGGCGGCGCGCGCGGACTTCTGCTGCCGGATGAGGAGCGAGATCTCCTCCGCCTGCAGGTCGCGGGGTGGGGGTGAGGGGGTGTTTCTGAGTCTACGCGTTAAGTTTTGCCTTGCTCCGCCCGCCCCCTCCTGCAGGGCGCCTGGGCCGGTCCCTCCCGCCGTTTGATCCATCCCCACCCACCCCTTTCCTCAGCGGACCAGGGCCGGGCTCCCCACCCCGCCTGCCCCCCAGCCTTCCCGCCTGCGCGCCCCTTCCTTCCGGCCCCTAGCCTCACCCGCATGCGGATGTAGCGCAGCCTCAGGGCACGGATTCGTCCTCGGGCCTCCGCTGCCTTGAGGACGCCGAGGAGCATGTCCTGGCGCACCGCGGGCAGCTCGAGTGACTGCGTCCACGCGCGCGGGTCGGGCATATGGTACCCCAGCTCCACTGACTCACGGGGGAAGATGGAGGCGGCCACGCCCACCTCCTCAAGCAGGTCCCCGAAGAGCAGGTGGCGGTGACGCTGCGGGGGGCGCATGGCCGCCAGGCCTTCCAGCGATAGGGCCCAACCCGGCGTGGGGGGCTCCGCCGCGGGCGGCCCCTTGGCGCGCTCCTCACGGGACCCCTTTCCTGTTCGCTCTCGCGGACCCCCGCGCCCAGCCTCCTTCACCGCTGGCGACTGCATCCTGGGCCCTGCCGAGGGAAGAGTGAGTCTCATTGGTCACCTGCCAGCTCCTCTGACCCGGCCCGGCCCCTCTGGGTTCCCCACAGCGGGCTTTAGGTCCTGCCCCTCCAGCCTCTGCGCCCCCCCTTTTTTTTCTTTTTTCTTTAAGATTTATTCATTTATTTGAGAGAGAGAGAGCGCCCCCGCGCGAGCGAGAGCGAGAGGAGCGAGGGGCAGAGGGAGAGAGAGTCTTAAGCAGATTTCCGCGCCGATCCGGAGCCCCAAGCCCATCAATCTCAAGACCTCAGCAGAAACCAAGAGTCAGTTGCTTAACCGACTGCACCATCCGGGCGCCCCCAGCCTCTGCACCTCTGGGCGAGCCTAGCACTCATCCGA